AGGATGGAGGCACGCGTGTGCAGTGAGGAATGAGGATGGAGGCACGCGTGTGCAGTGAGGAATGAGGATGGAGGCACGCGTGTGCAGTGAGGAATGAGGAGGAGGCACGCGTGTGCAGTGAGGAATGAGGATGGAGGCCCGCGTGTGCAGTGAGGAATGAGGATGGAGGCACGCGTGTGCAGTGAGGAATGAGGATGGAGGCCCGCGTGTGCAGTGAGGAATGAGGATGGAGGCACGCGTGTGCAGTGAGGAATGAGGAGGAGGCACGCGTGTGCAGTGAGGAATGAGGATGGAGGCCCGCGTGTGCAGTGAGGAATGAGGATGGAGGCCCTCGTGTGCAGTGAGGAATGAGGATGGAGGCCCGCATGTGCAGTGAGGAATGAGGATGGAGGCACGCGTGTGCAGTGAGGAATGAGGATGGAGGCACGCGTGTGCAGTGAGGAATGAGGATGGAGGCCCGCGTCTGCAGTGAGGAATGAGGATGGAGGCCCGCGTGTGCAGTGAGGAATGAGGATGGAGGCCCGCGTGTGCAGTGAGGAATGAGGATGGAGGCACGTGTGTGCAGTGAGGAATGAGGATGGAGGCCCGCATGTGCAGTGAGGAATGAGGATGGAGGCCCGCGTGTGCAGTGAGGAATGAGGATGGAGGCCCGCGTGTGCAGTGAGGAATGAGGATGGAGGCACGCGTGTGCAGTGAGGAATGAGGATGGAGGCACGCGTGTGCAGTGAGGAATGAGGATGGAGGCCCGCGTGTGCAGTGAGGAATGAGGATGGAGGCCCGCGTGTGCAGTGAGGAATGAGGATGGAGGCACGCGTGTGCAGTGAGGAATGAGGATGGAGGCACGCGTGTGCAGTGAGGAATGAGGATGGAGGCACGCGTGTGCAGTGAGGAATGAGGATGGAGGCACGCGTGTGCAGTGAGGAATGAGGATGGAGGCACGCGTGTGCAGTGAGGAATGAGGATGGAGGCCCGCGTGTGCAGTGAGGAATGAGGATGGAGGCCCGCGTGTGCAGTGAGGAATGAGGATGGAGGCCCGCGTGTGCAGTGAGGAATGAGGATGGAGGCCCGCGTGTGCAGTGAGGAATGAGGATGGAGGCCCGCGTGTGCAGTGAGGAATGAGGATGGAGGCCCGCGTGTGCAGTGAGGAATGAGGATGGAGGCCCGCGTGTGCAGTGAGGAATGAGGATGGAGGCCCGCGTGTGCAGTGAGGAATGAGGATGGAGGCCCGCGTGTGCAGTGAGGAATGAGGATGGAGGCCCGCGTGTGCAGTGAGGAATGAGGATGGAGGCCCGCGTGTGCAGTGAGGAATGAGGATGGAGGCCCGCGTGCGCAGTGAGGAATGAGGATGGAGGCCCGCGTGTGCAGTGAGGAATGAGGAAGGAGGCCCGCGTGTGCAGTGAGGAATGAGGATGGAGGCCTGCGTGTGCAGTGAGGAATGAGGATGGAGGCACGCGTGTGCAGTGAGGAATGAGGATGGAGGCCCGCGTGTGCAGTGAGGAATGAGGATGGAGGCATGCGTGTGCAGTGAGGAATGGCCCGGGCGAGTCGTCCGGGAGCATGCTGTACAAGAGAAGAGCATCGCCCTTGGAGGGCTTCACTGGTGGAGTGAAGGGGGGGAGGCAAGTTGAGTGGCACAAAACGCATGACAGGGGGGGAGGTGGGGAGAGGGGAGTTTAGAATGAATACAGTACGTGCATTCAGCAGCTGCTTCCGTACACACCCCTCTGCTCAACTTCTCCGTTCTCCTCTATCCGTCCCTACCCCTCCCCATCTCCGGCTCCACTCCCCCTATTGACCAAGTTTCCGTTTGCCATGTCGCACCGCCTGCTCCCTCCGCTCACCACGCCCGCTTCCTCCGCTCACCACGCCCGCTTCCTCCGCGTTCCCCCCCCTCCTGGTCCCACAGCCTATCCCCTACACACATCCTTATCCACCCCAACCCCTTCTGCTGCCACTTCACCCCACCCCCCCTCACCACCATCTGCCTTCCATTCCTCCACCCTTCCCTTCCCTGCTCTCCTAACAAGCTTTCCCCTCCCCCTCCCCCTCCCCCCCTCCCCCCTCCCCCTCCCCCTCCCCCCTCCCCCTCCCCCCTTCCCCCTCCCCACTCCCCCCCTCACCAGCGAGTTTCCCCTGGGCGCAGTCAGTCCACGAGTCATCCTTGGGCGAGGGGTCGTCCGCAGTGGGGAAACACCCTTACCCGCCCTCTTCCACAGGCGAGCTCCCCTCTCCCCCCCTTCCCCCCTCCCCCCCACTCCCCCCCTCACCAGCGAGTTTCCCCTTGGCGCATTCAGTCCACGAGTCGTCTTTGGGCGAGGGGTCGTCAGCGGTGGGGAAGACGGTCTCCCCGCCCTTGGTGACGTTGTTGAGGTACATCAGCACCGTGGCGTACCGGTGCCCACCGCGCTTGCGGTTGTTGGGGTCGTGAAAATAGTCCACGTGCGGCTCGTACTTCTGCCCCTTCTCGTACCGCAACACCTGTTGGGGTGGGGGGTGGGGGAGTGTAAGGAGAGTAATTCGCGTGCAGCACACTCCGCGTTGATCGCGTCCTTGCATCTCCCCGGCATCACCTCCCTCCTTCCACCCCACACCCCCCCCCCCCCCCCCCCCTTCTCCCTCCCCCCTCTCCCCCTCCTTTTTCACCGCGTCGCACCTGCATGGCCTCCTGGTTGGGGAGCGGCAGGAAGGTCCACTGTGCGATGCGCGCCTCGATGCGCGCGATGACCGCATCCTCCGCGACGGCGATGAACATGCCGCTGCTCGTGCGGATCGAGCTCAGCTCGCTGTGCCCGTCCGTGTTGTCCGCTACCGACGACCTGCGCCGAGAGGGAGGGAGGGAAGAGGGGGGAGGAGTGCAGAGGCGGGGAGATGGATGTGCGGAAGGGCATGCGCTCAGCTCGCTGTGCCCGTCCGTGTTGTCCGCCACCGACGACCTGCGAGGTGCACGCGGGGGAATCGGGGGGGGAATGGGGGAGGATAAGGGTCGGAGGGTCGGGTGGGAGATGGTCGGGCGGAAGGCAGAGCGTAAAGAGATTCGCGCATGACTTCGCCTCGCTCAGCTCGCTCTGCCCGCCGTGTTGTCCGCCACCGACGACCTGCGCGGAGCACACGGGAGGGAATGCGAGAGCGAATCCGTCATCCGTGAGTTTTGCGTCGACTCACTAGATTTCTCGTCACAATGTAACAGGGAGCTTCGTCTCGTCACATGGTCACACGGCGAGTCGTACCGCTGGAGGCGCGGTGTGGCGATTTTGATGATGTGGTCGCATTCGTCGTCCGTGAGGAAGTTACGGTAGAGGTACGCGCGCGGCTTCCACGCCGACAGCTGCACTATCCGGCTGAAATCGATCCCCCTCGCGCGCGCGCCGTCATCCTGCGCACACGCAGCAGCACGGACGTGATTGCTGATCAGCGGGGAGCACGTGACTGCTCATCGACGGGAGCGCGAGAGGTGACTAATCGGCTAACACTGCGTCGCTGGACTCCCGCAATGTTACTGACGAGCATGTACACATCGGCGCGCAACAATCACGTTCTCGGGTCGAGAGATCAGCTCACCGTGGTTCGACGAATGGTGCGCTTCTGAGCGAAGGATGCACCGAGGAGATTTTTTATTTGCGGGAGCGCTTCGACCATAGCAGAGAACGCTAATAGGTAGAGCACCGCTAGATACGGAAGGTGTACACATGATATCCGCGCCATTGTAGTTAGTCCTACGAGACGCGTGGGAAATATTCCTGGAAGTACTACGATTGAAACTAATCTGCTGTATCTCGCGTGTTGAACTAGTTACTTGTGTAAGGAATTTCGACTACTTGTAACGCCACTGATAACTGCGATGATTGTGTAGACACTGCCAAGAGGAAGCCACCTCTCTTTAGCCACAAGTTAAGGGAAAAACAGAGTTAAGGAACCCTAAGTTAAGGGAAAAACAGAGACTTTAATCACCAATACGGGAAAGCTGAGAAAGCAAGTTTAGTAGGCAACGTGACGAGTAAGATATGAAAGCTCTAGTGACGGGAGGAGCGTGGTATTTTCCGTCCCTCACTTATCTCAGCTCCTAATCTACACCACCACACCATACCGCACACCGCACCCCACCATAGCACTCCAGTATCTCGCTGAGTGAGACTGCAGTAAACTGAGGACCTGACGAGGTCCGGCTCGGCATGCCTGCGGAAGGCGGTTTCGTCAGGTCAGGTCTGTTGCGCTGACCAGTCAAAGCGCGGCGTCAGGCACTGTTTCTGGTACTGTACGCAGATAGGTTTGGTTCGGGCGAAGGCTCTGCTGAGGGGCGGGTTTTGGCATGGCAAATGTGTGTTGTGTGTTGGATTGGGTGGGACTCCGCGCACCGAAACTGAAACCGCGAGGACAGCGCATGACAGATTGACGGCTTCGATCAGTTCCATTTCCTCCTCGAAACGTGAGTAACGTGGCTGTGACGTGTTTTGTGCCCAAAGTACCAACTTCGCTGTCCAGCGCATTCAACTCGACAGCGAATGAAGCTATCGCGCATCGACGATCACTCGGGGGCCACGAGGCTTGGGCGCTTTTCTCCCAGGGCGCGTCGCGCATTTGCACCGCTGGCAGCAATGTTCCAGCACAGCAAAGAAAAATCACCTCCAGAATGGCTTGCCTCGAGATAAGTTTCTAACAACCACCTCCGAACCAGATCTTTGAGCTCGGTTCAGTCAAAACAAACGAGGCGCCAAACCTACAAACAGTTCCGCTTTCTCCTAGTCTTTCGGAATTTTCAATCAAGGCGAGCGGTCAGTCGATCGTTCTCAATGCCATTAGTTTGTAGTCCACACCACAGGTATACTCGCGTACTTTATAGAGACACTGCATGTGCTGCTAATCTTCCAGTCTTCTACACTTCAAAAAGCGCCACTAAGATTTGACTCCGCAGGTCTTGCCACGCACACACGACGTAGCACAATACCTTCCCTACGAACCGCGTCAGCCCCCCTTCCGCTGGTATGCGACGATTAGACAGGAAAATGCAGCCAGCGTGGGTCGCGTGCCTAGCTCTCCACGTCATCGTCTTATCTCTCCTACCCACCCTCCTCGTGCGTGCGGGCGACGTCCCCGGCGAGGCGGAGTCGTTGCCGGGATGGAAGGGCGCCACCTACGTCCTACCGCCAGGACTTCGGGTAACTAATCCCGCCACAGTCATCAACCGACTCAATTAGTGCTTTATCCTTCCCCCAGCTGTCACACTAAGAGCGCAATAATCTCCGTGGCGGGTGCGCATGCAGGGGCGGGAGAGGGACGCGGCGAATGAGAGCCCTGAGCTGCCGGAAGCCGGTCTCGCGCAGGGAGATCAGCAACGGAGGCGGCGGACGGAAACTGAAACGCAACCGCAGGCAACTGAGCAGTTGGGTCAAGGTGACTCTGACGGGGGAGGAGACTCCAGCGGGCGCGCCATTATTCAGCTATCGGCGGACGAGCCGCGCGCGTACCTTTTCAAGCGGTTCCTGACGGACGAAGAATGCGACCACATCATCTCTCTCGCCGAGCCCTCGCTCGAAAGGTGCCGCCACGGTTGATTAGATTCTGACTGATATAACCATTATAGTCCAATTGGCGTCCAATGACGCTACCACGACAGGTGCACCGCGATAGCAGCACCGTGGGGGATGAAAGGTCTCAGTCTCTCCCTCTTGCCTCCTCCGTGCGTTCTCCTTCCCCTCTCAACCGTCCCTCAGATCGACGGTGATCGCGGCGGCGAGCAGCGGCAGCGAGGTGAGCGACATTCGCACGAGTTTCGGGACGTTCATCGACAAGGGCGCGGACGACGTGATTGCGCGCGTCGAACGGCGCATCGAGGCGTGGACGCACCTGCCCGTGTCGCACCAGGAGGCGCTGCAGGTGAGCAATGGCAAGGAGAGGGAAGGATGGGAGAAGCTCGAGCAGGAGAAGGTAGGCCGCGGGGAATGAGCGCCAAGAGGAAGGAATCAATAGTGGCCCAGATCGAGCACGGGCGATGGAAACTCAACCACCCACTTCAGCAACCCGTCCCCCTGCTCCACCGCTCCCCTGCTTACCCCACATCTTCCCCATATCGCTCCTTCACCCGCCGCTTCCCTGTCATAGAAAAATGGATCACAACAAAGGATGCGGTGCAAGCCCCACAAATTCCCCTCCTCCTCCTTGCCTTCCCCTCACCCCTGACGTCCCCACCCTCCGTCCTTCCATTGCTCCCCTGCACGTCTTGTAGCCAACCATAGGGCAGCCAGCAGACAACCATAGGCAGAAGCATCAGCAGAAGTACGGGCAAAAGCATGTGGCATACGTTGGCATGTGGCATCCCTGCTTCTTATGCTTTCCCTTCCCCCCCCCCCACCCATCAGGTGCTGAGATACAACGTGGGGCAGAAGTACGTGCCTCACCACGACTACTTCTCTGATCCACCCGAGACGCTGCAGGGCGGGCAGCGGCTGGCCACCGTGCTCATGTATCTCAGCAACGTCACCCTTGGCGGGGAAACCGTCTTCTCCAATGTCCCCGACCCCACTCCCAAAGACCACTCCTGGTCTGACTGCGCCAAGGGTTACCTGGCAGTCAAGCCCGTTAAAGGGGACGCGTTGTTGTTCTTTAGTATGCACCCGGATGGGACGCCGGATGAGGCGAGTATGCACTATGCGTGCCCGGTGGTGGCTGGGGTGAAGTGGTCGGCACCCAAGTGGATTCACGTGAGGGAGTTTGATGTGCCTGGGGAGGAGGGGGATCCCAATGTGTGTGCGGATACGAATGGCATGTGTGCAGAGTGGGCGGAGGCAGGGGAGTGTGAGAAAAACAGCAAGTATATGGTTGGGGGGAAGAGGTTTGTTGGGGCTTGCAGGAAGGCGTGTGGAGTGTGTACAGCTGACAGCACCAATGGGACTGCTGGTGGTGGTGAGGCTGTGCAAAGAGCTGCCTTGTAGGGTGTGGTTGAGTGGAATGACATGGTAATACTCTTGGCTGGCACCTCAAGATATGGGTGGAGTAGGTTGTTGGCTGTGGGCCCTGGATCAACCTTCATAACGAAGGTTCTATATAAATTCTTTGTACAGTAATGGCATATGCAAAATACAGATTGGCTCACTGCATTTGATGCTAACTGGTAAACTTGCAACCAGCACCCACATCTGTCAGGTATCATTGCACCTACAGAGCAATTGAAGCTGACCTCCTGATTCTGATGATTGAGGCCTTCTGCTCAGAGCTCGCCTTGAAGAATCTGTTGCAAATTGAGGCCCTTGGCTTGCAAGCACAGCCTTAGCACGATCAGAGCGGAGCGTGGATGCAAGAAGCTTCTAGTAGGCGAGCACGGACTTGCGGGCGGCCAGAAACTTGTCGAGCCTGTCCCAGAAGGTGAGCGCTGCTGTGCGATCCTGATGCCGCTTGTACTTGCTAATCTGGGAGGTGTGGAGGGGTGGAGAGGAGTGGAGGAGAGAGGGGAGATTGGGGTGGGGTGGAGTGGGGGGAAAGGAGGAGGGTAAGGAGCAGAGTATGTGCAGAGAAAGAGAGGTGTGCTGTGGGGTATGGTATGGAAGGAGTAGAGTATGCGCAGAGGAGAGTATATACCATGAGATTGCATGGGGTATGGCATGGGAGGTCCCTTGTAGGAGATGTAGGGTGTGTGTGTGAATGCTTACAGCGAGGATGCTGCAGTTCCAATTCTTCACTGTGGCTGCTGACTCCACACTGTCGTCCTCAAAGCGCACAAACACCCCCATCACTGCTTGCTCCACGTGCACACATGCATACAAGCATACATCCATATGCATGCACAAACATGCATACATACATGCACACACACAGGCACAGATACATGCACGAACGGAACATGAGCAGCAAGAGTCAAGTCAGGGAGCAGCCACAAGAATCGAGACAACCACCAGTGGAAACTTCAGAGAGTATTCGCATGTGGCTCAGTCTCAGCTCAAGGCAGCAGTCCACACGAGGCGGGGATTTGGAGAGAATATCCGCGTGTGGGCTGCATATGCACGCACCTTTGGAGAGGATGTCGACATGGTCCTTGAAGGGCCACCCCTTGAACTGCCACTCCTTGCCCAGCACAAACACCGCTGCCACTCGGTCCCAGTCCTGCTCAATAGTGTGCATGGGGGACATGGAGGCAGGCCAGGCATGGGGGACATGGAGGCAGGCCATGCATGGGGGACATGGAGGCAGGCCATGCATGGGGGACATGGAGGCAGGCCATGCATGGGGGACATGGGGGCAAGCCATGCATGGGGGACATGGGGGCAAGCCATGCATGGGGGACATGGGGGCAAGCCATGCATGGGGGACATGGGGGCAAGCCATGCATGGGGGACATGGGGGCAAGCCATGCATGGGGGACATGGGGGCAAGCCATGCATGGGGGACATGGGGGCAAGTCAAGCCATGCATGTGTTTGAGGTGCCTTGAGCATAGACTCCTTGAAGGGCCACCCCTTGAACTGCCACTCCTTGCCCAGCACAAACACCGCTGCTACCCGGTCCCAGTCCTGCTCAGGTGGGGCATGCGGGACAAGGGGGCAGGCCATGGTGCACATGCGGGCAGGAAGATGAATGACAGTGGCACAGCCACCAGCACTGCATGGCACGCTGTGAGAAGGCCGAGCCGAGGCAAGGGGGTTGACCAACAACCGAGCTTTGGAGAAATCCAACACCCATGCACATGTACGCTCTAACCAATAATTACCGTCACAAGCAGAACACGCAGAGCACTGAGCGGAATCACGCACCCGTTTCGACAGCCCCTCGGGCCGGTCCCTCACGTGGTATACCACCGCCTTGTCCCGCCCCATCCGCCGCTGCACCGCCACCATCTCGGGCCGCTTCCCCCCCGCTGCTTTCGCCTTCTCCTCCGCAGGCACGTACGCTCCGTCCTCGAGAAAATCTTTCACGTTGAAAATGTTTATCAGCGTCTGAGCTGCGCTGGGCACTAGGATGATCGGCACCAGGCTCCCTGCTGCCGCTGCTGCTGCGCTGCCACTGCCGCTGCCGCCGCCAGAGCTGCCGTGCTGTTTGTGTTGGGATTGGTGGGCCGGGTTGCCATGAGGGCGCGCGTGGCGGGAGGATGGAGGCGGGTTGGACGGCTGAGATCGGCTGTGCTGCCCCTCTGGCTTCCCCTGGGAGGCGACAACTAGAGCACCTGACCCACTGCCACCACCACCAGCAGCACCGCTACCAGCAGCACCACCACTTCCCCCTCTGCCGGGCTGAACGTACGAGGACTGGGTGGGGTTGATTCCCAGCTCCTCCAGTGCATCAGTCCCCATGTAGTCCCGCCACACCTGCCTCTCGTCCTGCCGCCCCCCTCCCCCTCCCCCGCCCCCGCCACCAGCAGCACCAGCGCCCGCGCCTCCTCCCCGCGCGTCCCTGGAGGGGCGGGCGGAGGAGGGGGCGGGCGGGTGGCCGCGTTTGGAGGCCTCCCTATGCGCCACGTCCAGCTTCTTCCGCTCGTGCTCGCGGCGGTTCAGCATGGCCAGCACCGACGCAAACGCGTCCTTCTTGCGAGGGCACAGCAGCACCGTCTCCCGGTCCCTCACCGGCCTCTCTCGCTTGATCAGCTCTCTGATCGCCTCCCTCTCCTCCTCCTCGCTCATCCCCCCGCCTCCCAGTCCCAGCCCTCCTACAGTCAGTCCTGCAGCGGCCATCCCAGGGACAGCTTCTGAGTGATAGGCTATGCCTCTTCCCGTGCCTAGGCCTGCCTGCGATCCTTCTCCCCTCTGCCTCTTGCCGTACACGTCATATCCCCCCGCTCCCCCGCCGTCTGCGCCTGCTGCTCCCGCGTCTCCCCCAGCCCCGCTGGCCCTTTTGTCCGTATCCCATCTGCTCCTCTTCCGAGCCTGATCCCCAGCCTCGGCTGCTCCCAAACCTCCTGGCCCCGTGGCACCATCTACCGCTGCTGACGTGGAGCCATGCGCGCCTTGCCCTAAACCACCGGGAGCTGCTGACGTGGCGGCTCCGGAAGAGGGGATGGACGCGGGGGGCGCGGCGGAAGGCGGAGCGGAGGGGGGAAGGCCGATAGGCGCGATGAGATCGATGGCGTCCGTGGTCTGCAGATGGCCTTCTAGATACTCCTGGCACGGGGGAGAAGAGTGGGGAGGGGGAAAGGGGGAGGGCAGAGAGGGGGAGTGGAGGGAGGTGGAGGGTGGGGGTGAGGGGAAATGTGGAGCTCAGCCGGAGACAGGCGGTCGAACGATCCTTTATCCGACGAATCCCAGCGGTAGTAGGCAGGAAATGTGAGAATTCGAGATGCGTGGAAACCGCGAGGGAGAGAAGGGAAGGACGAGGCAGGCACACCAGGAGCGGCTTGCGATCCGTGAAGGTGACGATCTGCAGGGTTTGCGCGCGCGCTCGCTGCATATACTCCGTGTGCTTGACCGCCTTGCACTGCACGAACAGCAGCAGCGACTCCAGGTTGTAACGGTCACCGCCGCGCCGCCGGTATGCCGTTTCGACGGCGCGAGGGAAACGGTACTCATTGCCGAAACAACAGTCATCGCCGACAATGGTAACCCTATCCAGCTCGTTTCGCATGGTGTATTCACGCAAAACCGACAAAGGATCCATGTTCTTTTATCTTAGATATATTAATGGATTAACCTATTTGGCCTATGAGTCCCACCAAGAAGACAGGACAAGGCACAGAAAGGACAAAGCACAGACTGGATTAAGAGAAGGCGGCGACGAAATTGGCGTTCCCGTAGCACCCAGTATCAAGAGTAGGAGTCAATCATCTATGACCTTTTTGCTGCCTCACTAGAATGACTGGGAAGGAGTGATGAGTCAGGGGTGGTAAACATTTCCTTGGAAACAACAGGGATTGGAGTTCAAAAAGATGACGGGAGCAGGGAAGAGGGGGGTGAATGAGTGGTGTCAGGGGTTTAGATAGGGTGAGGATGGGTGGTGGTACACCTGGGATGTGATTTCCTTGACACTGGCGAAGTTGGCGAACCTCGCACGTCCTCGCACAAATTGTACAGGCTCCGCCTTACCCTCCGCCATTTTCAGCGTGAATCGAGACTTTTGCGTGACGCCAAGCTCGCAGAACTTTCTCATTCCACAGACCAGATCGTGTCCTTCGCACGTGTTCTTAAACATATCATTCCGCAGCGTTCTTTCCGTTAGTGCAAAGGACGATCGCGTGAAACGTGACTGACCGTAGCTTTTGCAGACGAAGCATCCGTTTTCAAAAGGAAATCCGCACGGGCTCTTTTGAGCAGCGGTATGGCTACAGAGGCGACTCGCGAGGTGAGCACTCGAAATGCGCCTTGAAAACCAGCAGACGACGTGTCAATCTTTGAGTAAACTCTAGGATGCTGTATCATTGGCAGTCACTGATAGGCAGATTCGCCGTCTCGCGCTATCCTGGCATCTCTGATTTGCTCCGCGTTGTATGGATGTGCTATTGTGCGCCGTTCCATCCGCTCCCAGTTCGTCATTGCTCTCTCACCCGCTCCTCGTACCCACTCCTCTCCCCTCCAAGCTCAGCGTAACCGCCCGTTACTACTTCCGTGGTATCCTTCTTTCCTTTCCACTCATCCGCTCTCCGTCGAACATCTCCCATCAGCAACCCTCTTCACATCGCCATCGCTTATGTATCCCTACCTCATGCAACTGCCACCTCTCATTCGTCAACATTCCTTGAATCCAGGCGTTCGTGGAGCTGCAAGGGCGACTCGTGGAGACGGATAGCAAGCTGAAGCAGGTGAGGGTGGGGCAGGTGAGGGTGGGGCAGGTGAGGGTGGGGGATGACTTCTGCGTCGACTCAATATCCTTGTCCGCACGCGTTCGTGGGCTGCAAGGCCGACTCGTGGAGACGGACAGCAAGCTAAAGCAGGTGAGGGCGGGGTGTGCAGGGCAGGCGGCAGAAGCAGGTGGGATGGAATGAACAGCAGCGAAGGTGGAGAAGTGGGATTGGGTGTAGCAAGAGAAGGAAAGAGGGGGGAGATGTTGCTGCAGGTTGGGGATGTGGGTAAGTATTCTTTCATGGGTACGATGAAGCATCTAAGCGGCTCACACAGGCCCAATGGCGCCGCTACCAGTGCTGCTCTCTTTCATCACTCGTCATCTCCCTCCTCGCGCAGGTGCTAGGGCAGGAGAAGGTGTGCGAGGTGGACGTTTTCACGGCCAGAACGACCCTGGACGAGCTTCAAGAGCTGTCCGCAGAGACGAATGTGTATCAAAGCATTGGTGAGTGTGAGCAGAGACAGTGCAGCGGTGTAGAGAAACCAAGACGGTTTAGATTAGCCGTGAGGCAGAAATAGCTTAAGTTTGGAGGATTTCTCCTCCTTTCCGATCCTTCTCATTTCTCCTCTTTCCCTGTCCCGTTGGTTGCTTCCTCGTGCATGGTACTCACTCGGTGCATGTGGACTTTCTCGTCCGGTGTTGCATCAACCCGTGAAATGCCTCCTGCTCCATTCATAATCTCAGGAAGAGCGTAAGTCAGCATAAAGATTCACTGCTTTTTACACGTGACTCTATCTCTTTTCCTCCACCCCTCCATCCCGCCCTGCTCCTCTTCTCGTCTCTCACTGAAAGTCAGTCCCATGCCCCTATCCTCGCCTCGCCTTCATGTTGGCATCGCTTCAGGGCACTGCAAGTAGCCGCCGGCCTTGCACCCGCATGTACCATGCCATCCAGGTTCCTGAGGATCGCATCTCTTCATCCACTCAGCATATCCGCATGCTCCCACTGGCTCGCCCCATAACCAGGTTTGTGCTGCAGCCACTGGAAGCGGCGAGGGCAACGGAGGAAGGGAAGATTAAAGAGGCCGAGGCCACCATTGCGTCCCTGCAGGTCCGCATCTCCCACACTGTTTACCCTCCCACCGCCTTCACTCCCACTGCCTTCACTCCCACACCCTTCACTCCCACACCCTTCACGCGTGCGTGTCTGTCATCTCCTCATGACGCCTCACATTCCCCACGTTCCCAAGTTGCCCCCACATTGAGATGGCGCCTTGCCTTTCTTGCTTCCTCCGTGTGCGTTGCATCGCAGGGGTCAAAGAAGTATCTGGAGAAGCAGATGAGGGAGGTGCAGAGCAATTTCAAGGAGCTCATGGAGCAACTGCCAGCGTCCATCCCTGGTTTAACACAAGCCATCAATAGCTGACCAGGGTAACTGCACTTGTGTAGATACATGTCGCATTATTGTGTCGTCTCTTGAAGAGTTGGGTGCGTTGGCTTATAAGGGCTGATGTGATTATCAGATGAAATCTCTGGTATTCATGTGCAGCGCTTCCAGCTCTTTGTTGAACGAGGTTGTTCGTGCAGCAACAGCTACATATTCCAGCAGTAATGCACAAGGATATATACCGGTACCAGAAATCTAAATGCTCTTGCGCAGCACTAAGCATCGCATGTGGCTGTGAGGCGGGCAATCACATGCGACAGCACCTCTTTCTTTGAAAGCCTGTAAGCCAAAGCCGCTTCCCAGTCCGGCAACTCGCGCACAAAATCAGGCGGGCACATGAGCGGCTTGTCCCCAGGGTAGGTGCCGTACAGCACCTGCACCTTGCACGCCTGCACCACATACATGCGCTGCAGGTCCCCCTCCCGTGACGTCCCCATGGCCTGCAGCATCTGCCTGGCGCGCTCCAGAATGCCCGTGCCGGCTGCGGGGATGGAGTCCCCGAGGTTGTCGGGGAGCGAGGCGGCGTAGTCGTCACACGTGGTCTTGGGCTCCTTAAGCCATGAGTAATCCACTGCCGGCCGCGCCAGTGCTGCATAGTCAGGGGCTGTGGGGAAGAGGAAGAGAGAAGAAGAGGACGAGAGGGGGAAGAAGAGAGGAATAGAGGGGGGAGAGGGGGGGACGGGCAGCAGGAAGGCAGTACAGGAGGCAGTGAGCTGTGCTCTGCTACTCAGCGAACCAGATAATCACAGTCCGAGGTCAGCAAGAGGGCAGATGAGGGTAGAAGAGGAGGCATGAAGTGACGGAAAGGGAGGTGGGCTGAGGAAGGGAGGGAGGCGTGGGACGGATCTCACCTTCCTTGTTCATCACGTGCGCATGCAGGGCTGCCAGACCTCCCAACAGCCTCGGATCGAGCCTCCCACCGAACCAAACTCTCAGGCTCGCCTGTGTATCAATCCTGAACTCAGGCTCGTCCGGTATGCCCTTGTACCGGTCCTTGGTCACCTCGACCTTGAGTGCCTTTTCCATGTCAGCAAAGACCTGCTCCACGTCAGTCTGCATGCATGCCACGTGAGGAAGAGGGAGATAGCATGAGATATGCATTCAGGCAGAAAGGGACAATCGGGATCAATCTACAACCGAGGACAGGTGAAGAGAACATGTGAGGAAGCTTCGGGGCCAAGGGACAAGAGAGAAAGGCAGACAGGTGGAAACAGCGCCGTGTCCACCAAGTGAACGCCAAGCTCCATACCTCCATGCCTTCCCACTGCCAAACCCCTCTGCCATACCTCCATGGCCTCCCACTGCCATACCTCCAACCCCCTCAGCACCGTACCTCCATGAACGACTCCCAGTGCGTTCTCAAGTAGTGGCGGCCGAAGAAGTCGATGGCCACCTCGGGGAAAGCAAACACGTCGACACCACGCTGTCCTGGTAGTTGGTGCCCAGAGCCATGCACCCCCCCAACCTTACCTGCATTCTCCCCACCCCCAGCACCATACGTACCTCCATGAATGACTCCCAGTGCGTCCGAAAATAGTGCCGGCCGAAGAAGTCGATGGCGGGCTCGGGGAATTCAAACACGTCCGCGCTGTCACGGTAGTTGGTCTGCAGCGCCATGCCGCGGGTCAGCAGCGCCTCGTCGTTCGCCAGCAGCCCGGACTCCACGCTCACGTGCTGCCCTGCAGCGATGTTGGCCGTGGCTGTGAACGTGATGTGCGTGTCGTTGGCCTGGTGGAAGGGGAGGAGGGGGGAGGGGGCAGGGGGAGGAAGAAAAGGGTCATGGTGCGGAAAGGTAGTGCCTTGTCGTTCACCAGCAGCCCGGACTCCACGCTCACGTGCTGGCCTGGTGAGATGCTGGCCGTCTCTGTGAAGGTGATGTGCGTGCCGTTGGCCTGGTCGAGGGGAGGACAGGTTAGTGGGGATGAGGACGAGTGAGAGAGAGAGAGAGAGAGAGGAGAGGAGCAGAGGGCCAAGGGATTGGCAATGGAGGGTTGGGCAACACGCAATTGCAAGGGTTTGAGGAGGGCTACGGCTGTGGTGGTGAGTGCAGGGCAAGACGAAGAGGCTAGGGAGTAAAGGAGCACTGAATGAGACATGCTGACTCGCTGAGAACCAGTTTAGAACGGCTTGCACAGGGCACCCACCAGCCACATGGCGACGGGGTCGTTGTCCGTGTCAAAGAGGTCCGCATAGGGAAAGAGCACTGTCTCACTGCCATTGCTGGCGCTGCTGCTGCTGCTGTTGCTGTTGGCCGCATTGCCATCACTGCTGGCACTGCCATCGCCGCTGGCAGTGCTGTTGCTAGTAGGGAGTGTGAACATACGCGACATGACCATGCCCACCGCCCACAGGAACTCCTCCTCTCTTGCATTCGCTATGGCCTCTGGCCGGCACTTTTTGTACTCTTCTGACAGCATCCGCTTGTGCTCTGCGGTCTGTGGCACACGTTGTAGAGAAGAAATTGAGACGGGCTTGGGTGAGGCACAATTGAGGAGATATGGGTTGGTTGAGATGGAATTGGGGACAAGGGATTGGGTGAGACACACTCACCACATGACGCGCACGGCATCAGAGAGATGATTTGGATGGATGGAACACAATAGGAGACAGGGCAGTGGTTGGGAGTTGATGCTCACGGCTAAGAGCAGCGATTGTGATTGGAGCTCCGTGCGAAGCCGGTCGGAGAAGAGGTGGGGGAAGGGCAGGTGGGCGGGCAGCAGGCGCACCAAGGGCGCCCACAGGGACGCGCGCCCCTTGCCCCGCTCCCTCAGCACCCACGCCGCCAGGGCCGTGAATGGGTGCACCTGGGGGGGAAGAAGGGGGGAGAAAGGCAGAGATACTGAGGGTGGGGGGAGGGGGAATGGCTGCCAGCGCCGAGAATGGGTGCACCTGGGCGGAGTGGGGGGATGGGAAAGGCAGAGCTGTTGAGGGGAGGGGAACGGCCGCCAGCGCCGTGAACGGGCGCACCTGGGGGGAAGGGGGGGGGCAGGGGAGGTACGGGTGAAGGGTGATGTACCTGGCGGTGTGTGCGGGGAGGAGGGGGTGACGGGTGGATTTGTGTTTAGGGGGATGAAGACAGGGACTGGATGCACTTAAAGGGAAGGGATACTGCGTGGGGGATGGCCGTTAAGAGATGGTGCGTTGTCTAGTTGTCCAGTCCTTTATTTGGTCGTTTTTGGGGTTGGTGCTACTGCGTTTGCTGATAGGCGGGTCACTCACCTCCCCCTCGTACGGCTTTGCCTCTTCCTGCGCGTGAGATTCAGTGAGGGCGAGCGAGCGAGGCAGCGACAGAAACGCCTCGCCCTCCGCGATGGGGCGCCGCGCCACCATGCGGAGGTTCGCTCTGCCGGTGGGTGAGGAGGGGGAGGAAAGGGGGAAGAGGAGGGGGAGGAGGATGGGGGGTGGCGGATGGAGTGGTAGGCAAGGTGGGGGTACGGAGTGCTTACTTTATACGGTTCAATGGAAAAAGGAAGGATGGGAAGACTAACTGGGAAAGATGTGCTGGGAAGAAGGCAAGGTACAGGACATTGAATTGAAAGTGGGCAACAACCATTCTTTGGAGAATTACAAACTGCAACGAGCCCTCGTATGTTTTCAGTTAGTTTGTGTCAAATTGATCTGACTTGGCTCACCTTGACCTGCCGGACGCCTTGAGTGTAGTGTTGGCGTCAATGAATACCTGCACGCGTGCAAATGGTTTGCACAGGATTGGTTCAGTGAGAGGATTGGTCGATTTCCTGACAAGAGAAACGTCAATCGTTTAGTCATTGCCAACCATTCGACACCTTTCCACTCGTTTTTCGGCTCAGTCAATCGTTCGAAGCCGTTATCATTTCCTGGTATAGCTTACTTTTTGCAACGCTTTCATTCAGGACACCGCCAACCATCCAAAGACGTATGCTCGTCATACTTCACCTCACCTTAATTGCCGCGTCGTCGTCTCTAATCCCTTTCACGCCTCTCTCCTCCAGCCACGTCAGCAGCTCGTTCACCATCCGCTCCTCCTCCTCAATTCCCGCTAATTTCGGGTTGAAACCCTCCGGCCTCGCTGCGCCTGTCGCCGCGTTTGCCGCTCCGTTCGCCGCAGGAAGGTCATCCGTCGAAACGAACTGATCCGGCACTACCCCTGCGGCTGCTTCCAGTCCCAAACCCAGGCCTGTGCCTACACTTTCTCCTAATTCTGCGGCTACAGCGGCAGCGGCTATGCTTGAATGAGAAGGATTTGCCGCATCATTGCCGACAGGGGATTCGGCTGACGAAGCTGAGGAGGATCGGAGCATGAAGATTATGAGTAGTAAAAGAAGATGCAACACGGGGCTGTGGATAATGGTGGTTGCGATTGACGAGCGATGCGATGACGCGGCCATGCCGCGTGCAGTCAGCGTATAATTGGTTTGATTGTGATCGTTGGTAACCAGAGAGGAATCCGTGTGCGGTCGGTGTGCTGTATTTTAGTGATCGCTTCGACGCAGCGGAAAGTGCGAAGAAACTAGGCGGAACCGGCGCAGCGAAAAGAAGGAGATGATAATTGCTGTCGTTCGGCCTGATTTTAGTAAGCCCACATGCGATCTCTGCTTGTGCCGATACGAATTACGCGACGCGACACACTAGATCATAAGATGGTGCGATGAGGGAGAGGCTATGAATGCTCGAAAGGGGTTGCTGTGATCTGCAGCAAGCCAGGCAATGGGAGAGTCGAAAGTGAATGGGTGAAAACGCGAGGCCTTCAGAATAAACAAAAGCTCAAGGTCGCTGATGAATGAGGAATGAGAGCCCAAGGTCGTTGATAAAGAAAGACTCAAGGTCTCTGGGTGATGAATGATGAGCTTGAGTGTTGATTTGCGTTGCGGGTGAATCAAAAGCTGGCTGACTGAATGACATGGCAAGCCGCGTCCAAATGTGCAGGGAATCGAGACACATCACTTGCTGCAGAGAATATTCCAATCTCTTACAAAAAAATGTATAGACCCACAAAAGCATAACCTCGTACATGAACATTAGATTTTGTGTATGTTTTTTTCACAGGTGGGTCTACCGCTGCTGGCACATGAAAGCATGAGGTTTGATCTCTTCCGTGTGTGCATAGCATTAACCATTGCGCTGTCCATTCTGTGGCAGTATTAGAATTCGATTTCCATGCGGATTAAACCCCACCTTACCAGAAAAGTCATCATCTAGTTTAGTCAGTACGGTTTCACCAACTCAAATGTGCCAGTATCAAATAATACCTCCACCCACTCCGCACCACAGCATGTGACTATACACTCGACCGTAATATTATACAAGCAAATTGCTGGCAGATGGATCAAAGTATTCAGCCATGACTGCAGCGGAGCAGATGCAGAGGGCAGCAAGAGTGAGCGCCATGAGCAGCACCAGCATGCTCCACACCACGTTCCGGCTCACCCACCGCCTCTCTGCCCACTCCACCCCCTGCGACACCGCCCGCCCTTTGCCCGAGCGTAGAGCACAGATAAGGGGGGAGCTGCGACGGGGAGTCCGGGGACGTATAGGGGAGGCTTGCTGGGGCGACGCATGCATGGGTGGTGACTGCTGGGGGGAGCGTTGCTGAGGGGTGGAGGGTAGCAAGGGTGAAGAGAGGTAGGTGGTGGATGGGGTTACGCCATTACAAGGGTGCTCCAGCGAGTTTGAACGGCCAGATAATGTTGGGTCTCTAGCTGCCTCTGCTCCTGCTGAAGCACCCTCTGCTGCTCCTGCCTCTGCTGCTCCTCCTGCCTCTGCCACAGCTCCTGCTTCTCCGCTGCTCCCCTCCGCCTCTCCCTCTGCTTCTTCCTCGCAGCACACTGCGCATATGCAACCGCCTGCCAGCCTAGCTGGCACGCTGAGTTGGAGCCCGAAGAGATCGGAGAGTGATGACGTGGCAGAAGTTCCGCCACCGATGATCTGTATCTTGCTGCGTGTGCCTGGGCTCAGCAGCTGGAGGTGATGTGGGGAGAGGTGGGAGGGGAGCAAGAGGGAACGCGCACAAAAAGGGGGGGAGAGATGAGAGAGAGCACGTGGGCTGAATGGGAGAACAGCGGGCCAGCCCAACTGACTCATCATCACACGAAATGGGGTTCAAATGTCACAGGCGTCCCCACCAGCATCCCCAGCAGCATCCCCCCTTTCCCCACCTGCAGGACCCCCCATTTGCATTACCCCTCTCCCTACCCACAGCACCCCTCCACCCCCTCACCTGCAGCATGGCGCGAGCCAGGAGGCGCAGAGCGGGCGGCAGGTGCAGCACGTGCAGGCGCGCCATGCGGTGCGGGAAGTTGCGGTGCAGAGCGGTGATGGTGGCGCGCAGCAGCCCCACGGGCAGGTGCCACAGGGCAGGCGCGCCCTGGCAGTCCAGGATGACGGCGATGCGCCCGCTGTCAGGGCATGCCAGGGTGAGCGCTGCTGCTACTGCGCTCACTAGGGACGCTGAGAGAAATGTGGGAGGAGGGGGAACAGGGAGAGGGGCAGGGAGGGGGTACGAAGTTTGATTATTGTGATGACAAAGATGTGCCCGCGGTCGAGGGATGAGAGGGTGAGCGCTGCTGCCACGGCGCCCACTCGGGATGGTGGAGGAGCCGGGGGAAGGGATGGACTGAGGGGGGAGCAATGGGAGGGAGAGAATGGAGGAGGGAGGGGGCAGAGTGTTGTGGTGATGATGGTGTGGCTCTCTCATACGGATGCAATAATAGGGGACTGACTGGGTTGTGGCTGGGGCTGGGAGGAGGCGAGCGAGGGTAGGGAAGGGCATCAAGGCAGGAGGGGCGTGAAGAGGGGAAGGGCGGCTCACCAAGATAGCAGACAAAGTCGGCATGCGAGGCAGACGGAATGGCCCTAGCCGCCCGTCCCAGATGCAGAACAAGACAAGGCCTGCCGTCCACGTCCGCGCCGTGCCAGTAGCCGAAGGGGCGCCAGGGGGAGCAGAGCACCTCGGCAGGTGCGAGGAGGCGGAAGGAGCGGCGCCACGTGGCAGTGGCGCGGATGCGGTTCACCATTGTTGCCACGTGGCGCTTGCCTGGCACTGCATAGCGCAGCACTGTGTCGTCTGTCAGCCTGCCGGGGGAAGGGAGGGGGGAGAGGGCGCGGGGGAGGGTGTGGGAGGGGGGGGTGCGGGGGAAAGGGTACGGAAGAAGAGCATGTGGAGGAGAGGGCGCAGAAGTGAGGGAGGGGCATGAGGGAGGGTGCGGGAAGGGGGAGCATGAAGGAACGGGAGTTGGAGGGGTTGGCGGGTGAGTGCATGGGGAGGGGGAAAAGTCAACACAGGTTGAGCAAGCACGGCTTGAGCACAGATGTTATGAGCTCTGGATGGCGGTGCTGTGAAGCACAGCAGCAAGCAACGCACGCACACACTGGAAGGACGCTTGAGAACCTTCTCAGAAACACCTGATTTGCAACACACTTGACTGGACTGCTCTCTCACCAATCCTGCGTGTCCACGTCAGCATCTTCGAGCGCCGATCGCACGTCTTGGATCAGAACTTGGTCAGCAGGAGAGAGCACGGGCGAGGGCGGGGAAGGGAGGGCGGGAAGGACAGCAGCACGGGGAGGAGGAGTGGAAGGGCGAGAGGAGGGAGGGGATGCTGATGATGCCGTGTCAGACGCAGCGGGAGAGCCGTCGAGTGAGTAGTCTGACACTGACGAAGCCCCTGCCACTGATCCAGCCCCTTCTGGTGATGCCGCTACCGCTGCTGCCGCCGCTGCTCGCGCTGATGCGCGCGCTGCTGCGCGTGCTGCTGAGAGGGAAGGGCGGGGCTCGACCGGGGGTGGGAGCATGTGCGGAGGATCCTTGGGGGGCGCGCGGGAGGAGGGGCGGGCCGGGAGGAGGAAGGGCAGGAGGGCGGAAAGCGTGGAGACGAGGAGAGGCGCGGCGAACGTCTGTGCGGTGGCAGGACGCAGGGAGGGAGGGAGGGAGAAAGGAGGGGGGATGAGATTGGGAGGGAGCAGCAGACATGCGAGCAACAGTAACGCTGTTCCAATCCTCCTGCATTCCTCGTTACGTCGCTTCATCCCCACATCGTATCCCAGCGTTCCACATGCAATCCCAAATCCCTTCCTCCTACCGCACTTCTCCCTTTTTCCCACCCCATGCCCTTGCAAGCAACCCAGGCTCACACACTTCGCACCGCTTACCTCCATGATCATCCACGTCCCGCCACGTGTCACCGTCACAACACGACCAACCATCTCCAACGGTCCCCCGATTTCCCTCAGCAACGTTTCCGCCTCCTCTTCTCCCCCCGCTCCCCTTCCCGCCACCAACTCTCCCCCTACCGTTCCCCCTCCCCCTGCCCTTCCGCCACCCTTCCCCCCACTGAGTCGCGCCTCCAGGTGCATTATTGCCACTACGTGCAGCGCGGGCCACAGTAGCGGCGGGCCTATAGCGCGTACAGGCTTCCGTAGCAATTTAACCGCCACTACTCGCACCGCGAACCACGTCACCGCGTGCGACAAGCTCAAGGCCCCGCCGACGGATCGACTCAGGGCGACGCTCAAAGCGCCATCGCGGGCGACTGTGCGACGGACCGAGCGACCCAGGGTGCGACAGAGAGCCCCGAGCGGGGAGCGCACGAGCACCCCTGCGACGGCTGCGAGCCAACCTCCCCGTCGCCTCGTTGGTCTCTGTTGATCGTTCGCCGGAGCATTCTCTCCTGTCGCACGGTCACTAGATGGCGAACCGTTACGCGCGTCGCCCGTATCCCCCCTTGGAGCGGAAGGGACGGATGTCTCCGCATCGCCACTCGCTGCAATGCGGCTCGCCAGCTCCGCAATCTCGTCGACCCGTCGGGCCTCGGGGGTGTCGAACGAGGCGCTGCGAGAGTCGCTGCTGGGAGCATCGCTGCTCGTGTCGGCCTGCGATGAATCCGCCGCCAACTGCGGCGGATCTAGTGCGCTGCGATCGTAGAGAGACATGGGGTACTGCTAGAGTAAGGGTTAAGGTAAGTATTAGGATAAGGGCGACGTCAGGTAGTACAACTTTTTGTACGCCCACTGCGGTTAACTTCGTTTCAACACGGTGCAGAGCGGTAAACTTCGAGAACCGCTTTTCACCGTGTTGGACCGTTCTGAACCACGATACAAGAACTGTAAACCCATGAAAAATGTATAACTTGACGTCGCCCTAAGAGTAAAAGTTGCGCGGAAGCGAGTCAAGCATGAACGGGTTTGCGTTGCTGGAAGCAGAAGTCAAGTCCTGCTTCTGAGACCGAATTCAACAATGGACGGCTGGAATCTAAACGTGTGGTGCAGAGCGATGGAGCGAGCGGCAGGACGGAAATCTGTGGACGGTGTGATGCTTCGGTTGGGTTCCTCATCCGCGTTACTACAATCTCTGACAAATCTAGCAGCTGCGATATTCTGCAATTTATTGATATTCAGTTATGCCAAATCTTTCCAACAAATAGTTCATCGTCTCCAACATCCACGCTCTCCCACATTTTTTGCCCTGCAATCACAGAAATTCTCTCCTCCCTGCATCCAATCCTCCCTGGCCGAGTTATTTATTGCCAAACCGCAGCGAGTGCGGGCCGCAGAGGTACTGGAAGGGTTAGACGCGCAGGAGGCGCAGGGGCGCAAGGATGGAGGAGTGCGCGCAGTGTGGGGAGCGCGCAGTGGATTACGATGAGCAGGCGCTGGCGCTCGTGTGCGCGCGATGCGGCCACGTGGCGGACGAGGCGCAGCTCACGTCGCGCGTGGAGTTCGACGAGCTCGGGCGGGCCGGCGGCGTGCGCGTTGGCGGCGGGGGAGGGAGGGGGGATGGCGGAGAACCCCGCTCGTGGATGTGGACAGCGGGGGCGGGCGGGGGGCGATTTGGCGGCGGCGGGTGGGGGGAGGGGGCGGAGACGAAGTGGGGAGGCGGAGGGAAGTCGGCGGAATTCAAGAGGCGGAAGAACAAGGTGTGACTCCGCTGGTCCTATGCTGCACTTCCGTCCGTTTGATCGCGACTGCTAATTTCTCAGGGTGAACCTGCCAGCGTATGCTCAGATGCTCGGGGGGAGACCAGCACCACCTCATTCTCACGCTCACAGTAGCCTCTCTCGCCTGCCACCTCCCGCACCCACCCTTCCCTCACCCCTTCTGGTTCACCCAGCGTCTGCCCCTCTCCTGCCCTTCCACCCCTCCCCTGCGATTTCCCCTTCCCCTTGTGCTTGCGCCTCCGCCGCCGCCAGCGCGAGTGGGAGGAGCGGCTGGGCGCAGTGGTGGCGGGGCTGCGCGTACCAGAGGGCGTGAGGGGGGACGCGGTGGGGGTGGCGGAGCGGGTGGTGGAGGGGCGGTGGGGCTCGGGGCAGTGGATGAACGTGCTCATGGCGGCCGCGGTCTACATCGCTGCGCGCAACAGGCGTCTGCCCGTGTCCATGGGGGAAGTGGCGGTGAGTGTGCTGTGCAGAGGTGGCGGTGAGTTGATTCTCTCTTTTCCTCTTTCATGTTCCCTTTTCTCTTCTTGGTCTCATCTGCGCTCCTCACCCCTCCCCTCCCCGCACCTCCCCGCGCGGCCTCCCCACAGCACGCGACGGACTGTGAGCTGGCGGCGGTGTGGGCCATGTTCAAGCGCATCATGGCCTACTTCCCCATGCTGCAGGTATGTCGTTGTCGTTCTCTCTTCGCCTGCCCCTGCTCTCAATTGTGACCACAATCTTGATTGTGCACACAGCTTTGACTTGTAATAATCTCTTGCCACGCCACCCCACCATGTGTGTGTGTGTGTGTGTGTGTGCAGCCGGAGCAGGTGGATCCAGTCAGCCATGTGTGGAGGGCGGTGCATGCCATGCCTGCACTGAGGGTATGTGCGTGTGTGCAGCACTGGATGTATCGTGCATGTGTGCAGCACTAATGTATGTGCGTGTGGGTGTGCCATGCAGTAATGCCATATGCAGCTTGATATGTTCCTAGTTTGCCGTGTCACTCTCAGAAAGTTCGAGCTCATAGTTCCACTCACACACCCATACATTCTGCTGCTTTAATTTTCATGTCATGGCACGGCATCGCATGTCACGGCACGGCATCGCATGTCACGGCACGGCATCGCATGTCACGGCACGGCATCGCAAGCACAGGAGTGGCAGGGCGAGGGCGGGAGGCAGGCGCTAGTGGGGGACGCCATGAGGCTGCTCACCTTCGCACACTCCCTCTCTCTGCACACCGGCCGCCATGCCGCCCCGGTACGTCCCCTCTCCCATGCTGCCTTGTGTCACTTCCTGCTCCGCTGCGCTCTACCATCTTCATGTCAACCCACTTCCATGTGCTTTCTCCTTTAGGGTTGTGTCCTCCACTTCCTGCCCATCTCAACCCACACCTCCCTCTCCTCGTCCTCCCTCCCATCCCATGGACCTCTCCATCCTCCCACCCTCCCCCTCCATCCTCCCACCCTCCCCCTCCGTCCTCCCAGATAGCAGCGGCGGCGCTGCTGCTGGTGGCGGGGGCGAGGGGGGTGGTACTGGGGGAGGGGGAGCTGTGCGCAGCCATGGCAGTCCCGCCAGCCACAGTGAGGCAGCGCTTCTCAGAGCTCACGCGCGCCCTCACGCGCCTTGCACGCTCGCTGCTGCTTCCGGGCGCCCACCTCGTGGCCTCCCAGGCAGCCTTCCACCGCCTCCTGCCCTCCATCCTCTCGGTGCGTATGCCGTGGGACTCGGGCCTGTTGAGTTGACCCAGGCCCGCCTTTTGAACGCATGCTTTCGCCCTTGCATTCGACCTAGGTGGTCGAGTCTCGAACACGCAGCATTTTCACCTCGAATTCTCACCAAGGCTCGCCTCTGGTGTTCATATGAATCTGTCCCTTCCTGTGTCTCCCTTTCGCCTGCATTTTCCTGCCAAACAGCTTCTGCCGTCGCCGTCTCGTGTGGGGCATCGTTTCGTGATGCCATCTGCTGATGTAGGCAGGAATGCTGACGTGGCGGATCGAGCTGCTGATGTGGCAACCCCAGGTGGTGCATCTCAAGCACCAGCCCCGGGAGGTGAAAGAGGAGGCACAAATCATGGGGCAGAGCAGTCAGTGAATGCAGGTGGTCGGAAAGATGGAGAAGGTGAGGGGCAAGGGGGAGAGCGAGGAGAGGAAGGAGGAGGCAGAGGCGGAGAAGGAGGAGAGGAGGGTGCATTGGAGGCGGGCGAGGGGCGGTGCCCCAATGAGCTGCTGCCACCTGCATTCGAAGACAGCGAAATGGCGCATCAACGGTGCGTGCCCTCTCTTGCCCAGTCGTCTTGTCTCCTGCTATCCCCCTCCAGCCCCATCCACACCCCTCTTCACCTCATAACCCCCCCATACGCCTCAGTGCTCCCCATGCTCATCCTCCTGCCGTCAACTCGCCCCCTCGCTCCACAACTTACTCACATCTTGCTCCACATCTTGCTCCCATCTTACTCACATCTTTCTCCACATCTTGCTCCCATCTTACTCACATCTTGCTCCCATCTTGCTCCCATCTTACTCACATCTTGCTCACATCTTGCTCCCATCTTGCTCTAAGGCTGCCTCTTCTCTCCGTCCCACCCCACCACCCAGGCGCACTGGGCTGCTCAACCGCGCCCGCCACCGCCTGCAGCACACAAAGCGGGACCGGTGGGGGTGTGCTGGGGGGGGACGGGCAGGGGGAGGGCTGGCGGAGGGAGGAGCTGGGGAGAGCAGCAAGGGTGGGGGCGAAGGGGACGAAGGGTTTGAGGGGGGTGATGAGGGCAGAGGGGTGGAGAGGGGTTGCGATGGGTCGAGAATGGAGGTGCTGTGGCGGTGGGAGGGGGTGTGCGTGGATGATAAGGGGGGTGGGGGGGGAGGCAAGAGGGTGAAGAGAAGCATGAGGTGCTTTGATGAGGGCAGTGGTGGGGAGGCAAAGAGGCAGCAAGGGCAAGGGAGCGGCAACGAAGAGGCTGTTGTGGATTGGCTGCTGCTGCAACAGGTAGGAGGGGGAGGGGTGACGAATTTCACTTGCATTACTGTTGAATTTGCACCCGTTCTACTCTCTGCGCCTTGTTTCTTGCGTGCCCTGATGGAAAGGAAGATATCAATCATGGTGGTTGTGATGTGCTGTGCAGGCGCACCCCAAGGCAACGGCATCAGGATGGTACCGCTCTGCAGCGTCCACCGTGATGGATCGCCATATCGCTGCTGCACCCAGCAAGCAGGCTTAGCAACAGGATGTGTGACGATGTAAGACGATGTTGTAAAAAATGGTTCTGTATTTTCACATGTGGCAAAAGAGCGGTGCCATGCATTGCAGCATGGGAGCATTGATGGAACTGAATGCACAGACGAGCGATAGTCCTGGCGTCCTGACTCACTGCAGCACGGCCGTACAAGGCACGGCATGGCATGGCATACATGGCACGGCATGTCATGGCGGTGAAGGGTTTGGAGATGTTGAGGTGTGGCTAGGAAAGCATGGCATCGGCATTCTGATTTTCAATGGTCACGGCTGGTGGATGGATGGTGTGCTCGTGTGAACCTTGCTGTGCTCGTGTGAACCTTGCTGTGCTTGTTGGATGCTACCGTATGCTCAATGTGATGTGATGGTGCGCTCTTGTAGCGGTGCAGATGATGCTCATGCTCATGCTGTGCTGCTAGCACACTAGCCTGGGAGTGCAGTGCACACCAACACAGACAGTTCCACATTGCATGGGGCACGAATTGTCTACCATGCATCCTGGCCAGCCCATTGGATCTGTACTGGATGCGACACATCCTGGTGCGCGCATAGACACTGTTGAGCGGAAGTCTGCTGTTTGTGGGGCGCGATGGCCCGAAAGCTTGGCACTCAGACAGACACTACAAGGAACGGGATGCCTACACGATGGAAGCCATTGCATAAAACAAGACATCTACACACTGCAAAACCACTCTACATAGCCCGGGCCATGCCCAGATACAATACAGCTACAGCACCAACCCTTGCGTGGCCAGCGAGTCCTATATGACTGACTCCTAGTCTCCTCTTCACCGTCGCCTTGTCCTCAGCCTAACAAGGTGCGTGGTCCTCCGTATATGCGGGCTGCTGCGTGCGTCACGGAATTCCACTCGTGCACATCGTTCAACCGCTGCTTATCCGCAGGTACACCACTCCCCTCCAACGGTACACGCGGTGCTCTTTCCGCGGAAAAACCAAGTGATGTTGTCCTTGGTGTGCCCATGCCTTTCCCCATGCGTGCTGCTCCGATCCCCTTATTCGCTGCTCTCCCCTAAACCGCTGCTCTCCCCTCAATCGCTGCTCTCCCCTAAACTGCTGCTCTCCCCTCAAGCGCTGCTCTCCCCTTGAGCGCTGCTCCCCTCAAGCAGTGCTCTTGCCGCGGAAGAACGACTTGATGCGCTCTTTGGTGCGCTTCTCCCCTGACGCACGCCGCTCCTCACTGTCGTTGGACGAGCGGCTGCTGGGGGAGACGGCGGTCACGGGGGACGAGGCCATGCTGCCCATCACAGGCGATGACGCCATGCTGCTGCTGCTGCTCGTGCCGTAGCTGCGCCCCTGCTGCCCCGCCTCCCTCATCTCCCCTCCTCCCTCCCGCTGATCTGTCTCACTCCGTGCATGAGCGTGTGCATGCGTGTGAGCATGCGTGTGTGCATGCTCTTGTGGATGCGCATGGGCATGGGCATGTGGGTGCTGCGATCCGGCCGGTCCCCTCCCCATCTGTGCTTCATTGTGCGACACGTGCTTCTGCAGAGGCCTCCCACCAGCATCCTTCATTGCTGAGTCAGACATATGCCGATCCACGCCCGCCCCTGCCACGTCAGCAGCTGGCACGGAACAACTGGCTCGTTCAGTAGGCCCGGCCAGACCAGGTTCCCCGAAGAGAAACTGCAGCACGACGCTGGTGTAGTCGTCTGGTAGCTCATCCACCACATCCCGCCCCGCCGCCCCCATATCCACATACTCGCCGTTCTTGCACAACAGGGCGGCTTTTCTCGTCGCCTTGTGCAAGGGCTCGCTCTCCCCCGCCATGCAGAGCACGGGCGTGTGTATGCGCTTGAGCAGCTCGGCATGATCCACTACAGCCATGGCTCTTGACAGCCATGGCCGCCGCTCGTACGTCTGCAGCATGTCGATCAGTGTGCGCACCTTCAGCTGCCACGGCACGCCGCCGTCGGGGAAGCGGCGGTGGAGGAATGTGGCGACAGCGTCGGGGAGGTCGGAGTCGTAGTGGCCGTCGGGGGTTTCCTCGCGGAGGGCGTCGCCGCGCTCCATGAAGCCGAGCATGGGCACGCCCCACAGCACCAGGCGCCGCACGATGTGTGGCAGCTCCGCTGCTATGTGGATGGCCACTGTGGCGCCCGCCTCGTGCCCCACCTATGGAGGAGCGGATTGTGGGGAGTGTGAGGAAGACGGACAGGTGAGAAGGGTGGGGAGGGTGAGGAGGGTGAGGAGAGAGAGGAGTTGAAGGGAGGAATGAGTGGAGGGTGGGGCCTAGGCATGTCTTGCATGCGTGGTTCACCGCGGTGGTCCCAGATCTATCTACTCACCTCTCCTCCACGTATGCTTTTTGAGACATCTAAAAACTCTTGCAAGCGTGGTTGTCGGTGTGGTCTCATCCAGCACAGTAAGCATGTCAGATCCGGTCATGCATGTATCCAGTCACACTATGCATGTCTGATCCGGTCATGCATGTATCCAGTCACACTATGCATGTCTGATCCGGTCATGCATGTATCCAGTCACACTATGCATGTCTGATCCGGTCATGCATTTATCCAGTCACATTATACATGTCAGATCCGGTCATGCATGTATCCAGTCAACCTTCCACTCTACCACCCATGCATGCATGCATCCAACCATCCATATCCAGTTGTATTCAGTCCATGCGATTCTGGATTGTTCCTCCGTGGTGTTTCAGCGACAAAATAAGGAACGGGATTCCGTAAGTTGGACACAAGAGGTCCCATGGCCTCCTCACCAGTTCTCTGAAGGATATCCAGGGACCTGGGTAATTGTGTGATTCAGGTGCTCCGGGGAATAGATGCAGGACATCACAATATGAACGTCCATATGGTGAGTCCTTCTCACTTATTAGGCTTCTTTCCATCCCCAACCACCCACATTAGCATTTGACATGGTGAGTCACTCAACATGCTTCTTTTGATGTGTTTCTTTCCCCCCCATCTTCCACAATCATCAGATTGACCATCCATTTGATCCACGTTGTCATGTCATCAACACTCACAATGTCAAATGGCGGCGAGAATCGAAGCGCATGAGCAGCTTGCAGCACAAGGTTCGCCACGTCAACCATGGTCAGCTCGCCGCTGGGAAGCTGAGTTGCTTGCGTGGGATCAGCACATGCTGACGCAGCACGGCACGACTCGCCGCTGTTGGGCAGATCCAGAGCTATGGCGTGCAGGCCGGCCGCCTCCATTCTCTTTAGCGCGGATGTGAACATGGCGGACGACTGGGCGGCAGAGTGCAGCAGCAGGATGGACGGCGGGCCATGGCCGCATCTGCTCATCATTAAAAGTGCACGAGGAAATAAACAATGGTGTTAGCAATGCTGCACCACACAGCAGTGCCGACGAAGTTGTGGTCTGGAAAGTACTGGTCTGGATCCACTTCCCAATCCTGGATCTAGATCCCAGATCTAATCTACTTGATGACAAATACTGGTAACATCTCAAAAGCTGTCCTCAGATTGGCTGTTGTCTGGAAAATCAGAGTTGGTTAGGAAATTCACTCTGAATTTCGGTTTATTGTGATTTTAACCGACAGAAGTAGGATTAATCAGACCTCGTACACACAAAAAAAGGTTCAGACAAATCAAACTTAAGATTCTGAAATCTGAGGCCCTGCGGCGTTCCAAGGAACGTCAGACCAGAATTATTCGTTTGAGGTGAAGGAGCAACACTCTGGTGCAGCGGAAATATCTCATGGGACACGGAGATTTTTTTTTTTCTGTTCTTTTCTTTTAATTTTACGGAGCCCTTCGTGCGTCCACTGGAAGATGGCTCGCCGAACATGTGATAAGAAGAGTTATTGAGCGTCAATTACCTGCGGTAGTGAATTTGTCCGGCCTCTGTGTCCACGTATCCCTTCTTCAAACCGTTCGTGCTCCCCATGTCTGCAGATGGCTGAATAAAAAAGCGACACCTCAAAATGCAGTCGTGAACACGGGAGTTGTCGAGTTGAACAACAAAACTTATGACACAGGTTAGATCACTTTGTTCTTCTGTCGAAGAAACTAGCAGCCGCTTTGTCGTTCAAAGATTGTCCTTCTGCATCTAAGAGCACTCCTTATGTTTTAGAGCATGGCATCTAAGATGGCATGGCACCCAACCACCACGTATGTGCTTCTTCGTGTGTTGGGCAACGCAGCCCACCACCACCTGTCCCTGACAGACACCCCCAGCGAGAACCATTGGTTGGTCGCAGCAATTATGCGCGGACAACAGTCTTCTTTGTGCTGTCTTCTTGTGCCAGGGCGGTTCCCTTTTCTCTTGGTGTCGGGGTGTCAGCACGAGCCAACATAGCGAGGCGAGAAGCAACAACCATCCACCAAGCCCAGCTGCCCGAGGCGAGGGCGCTTGAGGAAGGTTGGGTTGGGTTTGGCCCAGAAAGCAACCACCATGCCACCTCACACCGCCTTTTACGCAACCCGCGATTTTACTTCGTTCAAGCATGATTATATTGACGCTTCTCGAATCACCTCGAGAAATGACCAGCCAAAATTTTCAACCAGCCCTGGTGGGAAATTACAGATGTTCTGGGTTAGAGTCTCTCGCTGAGAGAGTCCCTTTTGCCCCCTGAGTAGAATTTTCCGATATCTCCTAGGGTTGGCCCGTACTCTTTAGTCTCTTTTTTGGCGGGAAATTTGGCAGCTTGACCGAATCATTGCACGAATCAGCTCCGCAACCAATCAGAGGCTCCAGATCAAACCAGCCCAGCATTCAAGGAGAACGATGAAAAGGGATCATCGAGTCGACATTTTAGCTTTTAGATGGTAAGTGATCGTTACTCGTGACGGCGAATTCTTCTCAATCCTGTCGCACTGTCTCAAGAGCGATCGACGATGACATCATATTTATTTCGATTACAGGGTTAAAAAATATTTGGGTTACTATTCGACCCCCAAACCATAGTTGATTTTGTTTAGTTTTGCCCGTTAGTCATGCGACATTGATCAGCGTGGAAAACCGTGCGACTAGAAGTTGAAGCAAGCGCGGTCCAAATCCACGTAAATGCCGAAATCCAGAAAATAGTAGCAAAACAACCACTCTTCATGCAATTTTCTTGAACGGGACTAAAAGTATCGGGTTTTGCCTGGGGTTTGAAGGTTTTCGCACATAGTCCGCGCGTGGCGATGTTGATCCGTCGGACTATAAACAAGAACAGCTGTATATACACCTCTTCTCCGATATTTCGACACCCTTTATCTTTACGACCTGGGGTACCTACCCTCGAAAAAAAAACCGATTTCGAAGGTAGTTGGCAACGCTCGAAGAATTTTTAGGATTAATGTAACACAATCTCAATGCAAGCTAACGCAGGAACAATCTGGCACTGGAATTTTCCCCGCTCACTCGAACTACAAAGTTCGAGTTTCGAAAGGCTTTGACCTGGCGGTTAGTTTCTGATAGACCTGCAATGTCAGGGCGTCCGTCTCGTCAAACCTTCAACCATATAGGGTGTCTAGGAAGAATTAAAGTTCAGGGTGTGGACATATCGGAGAACAGGTGTAATGTATTTGCTACATTGCAATGGTGCCCGTACACCATTATTTGTACCGTGTCTCAGTCTTAAAAGTTGTTCCGTACAGTCTATACAGAACAGCACTCGGACATCTTTTCGTCCCCTTGCGCAAACCACGACCACGACTTCCGCCTCGTTTCAAAGAATGTACTACCCACACTGTCGTGTAAAGCACAAATGTCGATCATCTCGCAATGTTGTCGACCATAAAACCCTTTGAAACGACATTCTAGTTCCTCAAAGATATGTAAATAAATGTTCCGAGATGTTGTATTACTGCACGGCTATAAAACGTCGAAGAATGTTGCCACATCATTAATATTTGGATCTTTCGCACCGTGCGAAAGAACCATCATCATTCGTACTAGCACGAATGCGTAACTGTTGCGGAAAAGCAGCGGAGAACCAGGAACGGTAATAATAAAATGTCGCCAGCTGTCGCAACAAGCTCGTGACCTGACGAACCAACGGACCAGGTCCGTCCCCATGCCCATGAGAGAGGAACCACTCATTTGTTGGACGATGAGCAGAAGTTACCCCGTAGGCCAGTACTCATTCACAAGTTCGGCAGCATTATAACTAATCCCCAGCATATCAACTGTTACCCCAGCCAAGCTGTCGTTTAGTATCATTACATACTGTGGTAATAACTTGTTTGATATAAGCTACATATTACAATATATAATATTCATACCTTGCCACTTTGAGCTTGAATCCTTGTGAAAAATACCATATGTGGTTTCCAGTATCATTTAGAGTGTTACAAATAGTAATGCCTGAACATCACAAGTGCACTCCTCATCGCAGCTAAAGGAAACACGCAGTAACAAGACCGAATGCGAGGAGTCGGAATTGACTCGAAGCGTCAGACGGTTAGCGTGGATCCGGACCGTCGGAGCAGACGGCATCAGGCAGCTGCAGTCAGGAGGAATTGGGCGGGAACAGTTTTCGTAACTGTACGCGCCGCACGGTTGGGAATGAAATTGAATAAGGGAATGTACCCCTTAGAGTATATGGCTAGCTAGGTCGATTCATATTCCCCCTGTACTCTTATTTATGTCCATATATTTGCAAGGTTTCAATTCATCTCAAGCATTTTACATTCACTCTGCTATTGAGGTCAAGGGCCCACCACCACTAGACTAGAAGTGTGCGAACCTTCCTGATGTGATCCTGGTTACGATCACTTGTTGATCGCAACATGGTATGAGAGCGACTCAGAAATCCTTCGCACTGCTATCTCCGAAATCAGCGACATTCGGAAAGTGGCGTCCGGCACACGATCGCGTGTACGAATGGTCGGAGGATCCGTAGGTCAGACAAATCTGACGGCTGAAGCACAACCCAACCCGGCTACGACAAGCGAGGAAACGACGACAATCCCTTCCGCCGTCCTCGCACAACTGCTTCAGCGACTCACGAGCCTGGAGGAAGGGCTCCAAACATTGCGGAATGGTCACGCGGGAACTTCATCCCAACCCACTCAACCGGCCTCAAACGGCTAGAACTCCGCCCCGCAAGACTTCTCCCTTGACACAAATGGCTCAACTCCCAAGACTCCCTGTCCCAGCGATGAAGCAATTCTCTCTGCGCAATCAAGGTTTCAGAGTTTATCGAAAATAAAGACAAGTGTGTGATTTGACGACAGAGACTTCTATACTTGGAGCTTCGAGCTGGAGCTGCTGCAGCAAAACGCGCAGATTTTTCACTACTTCGACGGGAGCTACTCGGGACCTACGGAGGACACTTGTGAAAGTAAGTGGTAAGCTGTAAGAGCCATAGCTAGGACTAACCTAGCTAGGCAAGGAAGAAGTTAGGCAAAAGAGAGATTTGCACTAGCAAGCAAGGGGATACATATACGAAACCCTAAGGGGTTATACTCGCTATAGAGTACCCCACTGCAGGCTAGATAACAAATATAACATTCTGACACACCCCCATAGCCAAAGTGGGGTATAATCAGCAGAGCAAGCAAAACAGAACAAGCTCAGGGTGGATCACAATGTCACCACACAGTCTGAGCACAAGTTCAAGTAGCAGTAGTATAAAGTTCACAGTTATAAGCAAAGCTAGAGGTAGTCACAACGGGCAAGTGAGGAGGAGGAGAGAGACTGAGAGGAGAGGAGATAGGAAGCGACGGATGAAGCTGCAGACACACGGGCAACAGGAGGCAGAGTGGCACAGCGGCTACCGCACGAAGCCCCCGGACTACAGGGGTAACCGGCCCCGCGGCTAAAGTAGCGGCAGACGAGCAACGGACCCACGGGCGGCTGGCACAGCTGGCTACGACTGGGCTACCGGACGAAGTCCCCGGACTACAGGTGCTGCTAGCGACACAACGGCAACCTCCATGCAGCTTCCCCAAACTGTCCTACTCCCCCTGGCACACACCCACTGCTACACCGCTAGCTCTCCTCCCCCTTCACCCCCCTTAAACCCTAAACCCCAGTCTCCCACTCATCCACCCCCCTCAGCGACAGCTGCAGCAGTGGGAGACGAAGGAGGAGGAGGAGCAAAGGGAGGAATGCAGAAGAGCCACCCCCATACTCGCCACCCCATACTCGCCACCCCCTACTCGCCACTCCCCAAACCCTAACACAGGCAGGGCGGGATGGCGGGTAGGGAGGTTACGGGGAAGGGGGGGGGGGGGGGGGGGGGGGAACCGACGCGCGGCCTCCTAGGGCGCCAAGACAGGCAGCAGAAGGGGCGGCGCTCGCCCCCCTCGCTCAGGAGCGGCCCCCGAGGGTCGCCTCGACAGGCGACGGGAAAAGGGGCCGCAGGCGGGGCCGGGGCGGGCGATGGGGCCGGGGCGGAGGTAGGGCGTCGGGGCCGGGGCCAGGGCCGCAGGTAGGGTCGCCCGAGCCGCGCGCAGGCGGCCCTAGCCACGCGCGGGCCTGGCGCCGCCCGTACGGGTTGCGCGTAGGCCTGGCGCGGCCCGTACGGGCCGCGAACGGGTCTGGCGCGGCCCGTACGTGCCGCGCGCAGGCTTTACGGGCCACGCGCAGGCCACGACGGGCGACGGGGGGCGACGCGGAGGTCCCCGTCGCCCGTCGCAGCGCCTCCCGGGAGCTGCGCGCGGCGTGACGGGGCAGTAACCCGCCGCGCGCCTCGGGGCGCACGGCGGGAAGAGAACCGCCGCGCGCCTCGGGGCGCACGGCGGGCAGAAAACCGCTGCGCGCCTCGGGGCGCACGGCGGTAAGGGAAAGAAGCAGTTGCAGCGGAAGGATTATGGTGAGGCCCACAGGCCTGGAGCTTACTGCTCTGATCACCATGTGAAAGTAAGTGGTAAGCTGTAAGAGCCACAGCTAGGACTAACCTAGCTAGGCAAGGAAGAAGTTAGGCAAAAGAGAGATTTGCACTAGTAAGCAAG